CCCCAAAACCCCAAAACCCCAAAACCCCAATTATAAAATTTGATATAGAATAGTACAGAAATGAATTGGCCTCAAGATGCCTCTGATTAGCTCCTTTCTAAGTAAATAAACAGAAGAGAGGGGTTTACATTGAGGTTCTGTGACCCAAGGCTTGGCCTGTCTCACCCACTGGTAGTATCGCAGTAAGAGACATGTGACTGAAGCATTCCCATTGGCCCATTGAAAGAATATGATGTATATTAGTCCGGATATAAATAATTACTTATGACTTAGAGCAACTATATAACTTCTGTCGCTTGTTCAACATTCCTCGTTTTTTGCTATAGACAGAACGCTTGCTTCTCGGTTGAAAGTTCTTGGCATACAAAGAGTCAGGAGTAGTTATAGCAGAAGATGGACAGATATTATAAGCACTAGAGATATCCCTCATCCTTGGAATACTGGAAGTTCCTACATTCTCAGGTTGCTCCATTGAGAACGTTCGGTGCTTCTTGCGATGAGTCGCCTTACTCGCTAAACTACGAGTTTTAGAAGGACCTTGGCCCTTCTGAATTCTCTTAACTAACTGGGTATCGGAGTTCCCGCTCTGACCACATTTTGACTGATTGAACCCAAATGAGGAGTCAACGCTCCGCTTGACTCATACAGATCCAGACAGGTTCTCAAGTCTCGGAGAGAGCTTTGTAGGAGCGATTCTGTTTGAAAAAGATAGCCGTTTTAGCCTATATTTTCAAAAAATAACTTACTTCATTCATTTTGTTTTAATACTCCTGTTAAGGCTCTGGTATGTTTCCTTATTTATTAACAAGCCTATGGTTGATTAGAAATCGTATCATAGTAGAGAAAAAGTAATCCGTCCTTCAGAAAGATAATTTTAGCCAAAAATTGATTATTTTAGAGTGCCTAATACAAGTTTCCTCCGAAGACTTAATCCAAAAATATTCAAATATGTTTGTCCAAATAGTAAGAAGATTAAAAATCTGTTTCTAAAGAATCCTGGATTCCTCAAAAAAGTCAAGAAGCAGAGGTAAAATACTGAATGGCTTAGTGCCCATTATTTCCTCGGTCTGAACTCTTTGCATGGCATAGAACTAACAAGTCCTAGGCCTCTTCAGAATGTTAAAAGCAGCCTTACTTCTTTTCAAAGCCCTTATGTATATACCAGATATCAGTTAGAGGCTTTTTCTTTTTCTTCTCATCAAACCTCCTGTTTTCTACAAACATGTTGTTGTAACTGGTAAAGGACATCATAGAAGATCTCCGACGTTTCTGACCTCCTTTCTGAGTCACACCAAGTCTTGCTATATTATTTAGCCCCAATCCTGGTGGTTGAGCATTTATGGAAGAGTTAGAAGAGCTCAACGAGTTCTTCGATTCACTTTGGCTTAGGCTAAGATTCCTTAACGAATCAGTAATGTCATTATCTTGAGGAAGTATGCTGGGTAACTTTCTTCTTTGAATTTCAGCATGCTTCCGAAAAGTGCTCATCTCTCCCCTTCCTTGCATTTTCTATAACAATAAAGAGTCATATAATGATTTTGGGCTGGTTTATCTTGTACTAGCAACGAATAAGTGCACTTATTGGAGAAGTGCTTTCTTCACCTATCAAAAAATGAGAGAATATATTATCTAAAGTGGTGGGGTCCTTACCATATCTTCAAAGTATACACTTTTCTTTCCTCTTGCTTTGGGAACTATAAATAAGGCTCCATAAATCCTATAAACCTATTCTGAAAATCTCTGAAATGTAGTAAACGTACTGTCAGAGCTGGCCTTATTGATCTTGATGCTGTATGAAACCCTCTTCTTCAGCTTTGAACGCTTCTTCTTTGTGCGTAGATTGGCTCCCTCAAGTTCCTAATAGAATAAGAGGTTATCATACCTTCTCCTTCTTAATATTTTCGATAATATTTTGAGCCTTGTTAGTGACTGGATATTTTTGAATGAACTCCAAGAAGCGGCCCCAGCCGCGCTTGGAGTTCGATCTATCCTCATCCCCGAAGTCCATGTGCTCAGCATATCCAAAATCTGGGATTGACGGTTTCATTATGTTGCCCAAGTTCGATGAGAGGTCTTTCTTCCAATCCGGAACTTTTTCCTGAACTTGTGGGACTACACACAAGGTTAGAAATAGGAAGATTTAAGAGTTCCCAAGATGCAACAAGTACTTACTCTGAGGCTCTACCTTCGGTAGAGGCTTAGACTTCTGCTTCTTCTTTGGTCTCTTGGCCATTTTGCCCTTCAATCACCTAAACATAGCTTTCTTGGCTTCTTGGAGGAAGAAATTCATCTGGGTGTCCCGCCTGACGAAGCCTTTCTTCTGGATACCAGGTTTGAACTCCCTAATAGGTGGAGTTTTTAACTTGGGCACTTCTAAGTCAATGGCCTCGTTTGTATTGATTTTCAAAGTCTCCATTTATATTTCAATATTCACTTGAATATTCGGGGTTTTGGGGTTTTGGGGTTTTGGGGTTTTGGGGTTTTGGGG